GAAGGAAGGAAAGGGCTGGAAAAAAGGGAGGAAGGAAGGGAAAGAAAAAAGCTAGAGAAGGAAGGAAAGAAGGAAGGAAGGAAGGAAGGAAGGAAGGAAGGAAGGAAGACAGACAGAAAGAAAGAGAAGGCTGGAAAGAAGGGAGGAAGGGAAAGAAAGAAGCTAGAGAAGGAAGAAAGAAAGAAAAGAACAAGGAAGGAAGAAAAGAAAGAAAAAAGAAAGAAAGAACAAGGAAGGAAGGAAGAAAGAAAAAAAGAAAAGGCTGGAAAGAAAGGAGGGAGGAAGGGAAAGAATGAAGCTAGGGAAGGAAGGAAGGAAGAAAGAAAGAAAAAGAAAGAAAAAGAAAGAAAAGAACAAGGAAGGAAGAAAGACAGAAAGAAAGAAAAGGCTGGAAAGAAGGGAGGAAGGAAGGGAAAGAAAAGCTAGAGAAGGAAGGAAGGAAGGAAGAAAAAGGAAGGAAGGAAAAATATGAAGGAATTAGGTAGAAGAAAATAGGAATGAGGGAGAAATTAGGACGAACAAAATGGAAGAAAGGAAGGAAAGGAAGAAGGAGGGAAGGAAGGCTGGGACGAATGGGAGAAAGAAGGAAGCAAGGGAAGGAAGGAAGCTAGAGAAAGAAGGAAGGCAAGCAAAAAAGAAGGAAAAAGAAAAGGAAGGAAGGAATGCTGGAAAAGACCAGAAGAAGGAAGGAAGGAAATGAAAAGAAGGCAGGAAGGAAAAGAGGGAAGGAAGGGAGAAGGAGAGGAGGGGGGAAGAAAGGAAAGTGGGGAGCGAAGAGAAGGCAGGAAAAATAGAGAAAGGAGTGAAGGGGAGGAACGAGAGAGGAGATAAAACCCAAAAACTTGCTCCCAAAGCCTACAATTTATTCCTTAGCCTCAGATGTGCCCAAGAAAAGAAAAATGGCCCCCCAATATCAGCAGAGTACAGTTCTCTCCCCCCCCCCCCCCCGCCAAGAAAGACACAAATATGTGTGTGTCTTGCCCGGACAGAGAGCGGGGGGGGGTTGTGTGTGGGAAAGTACACACACTCCCCACACTCTCTCTCTCTCTCTCTCTCTCTCTCCTAATTGGTGGGAAAAAATACTCCCGCCTCACGTTAAAGCAATAATTGGCCAGGCCTCTCAACCAATAACAAGGCAGGGGTCCTTATTTCCGGCTCCTAGCACCTTCTTCCGTTTTCCTACAGGTCTGGCAGGTAAGGGTTGCTTGTTTCGGTCATGCTCAATCCATTAATAATCTTAATTATCTTTTTGTCATCCGTGTTTATTATAACTTCGGAAATAGTTTAGCCAACTTAAGGAAGAAATCCCCATCAACAGGTTATCCGATTATTAAACGCTTTGTTTATTTTTAAGCCATGATTCCATCGGGGTTTGTTCCATGCGGGGCGCCTGGAATGATTATGCTGGCTTTCTTAAAACCCAGGATTTTATGCTGAAATAAACCCAAATTCTACGTCAAAGCCCTAGATGACAAACAAAACCAACCTTCAATTAAACAATTCTGATTCTTTAATACGTAAATATTATTATATATCATGTGTTTATCGTATGGCATTTGCTATAATGTATCGGAAAATCTAGACTTCATTCAATTTTTAAAATTAACCTAAAAACCTGGACAGGGATTTTTAAAAATCCGATTTAAAACCCCAGTTTTGGTATTTTTATGTTTTAAATCAGAGGAGGCATCTTTTAATTCTGCTTCCTTGTTTGTAATGTGTAGCTTTGTAAAATATAATGGTATTGTGATTTATTATTTATCTATTGCAGATATTTTTACAAGCAAGACAATTGTGTTCCCCCAAAGACCTCATGTGCAAACTCAGACATTTAATTAGATTGGAGTTTATAGTCCAATAACCCCATTTTGGGCTTCATAATTAGAATCCCAAACTACTGGATTCTTCAAACCGTAAACGAAATCTTGAGACATAAACCAGCACACGGCAGGCAAACAGCAATTTTAAAAGCTAAAGAGAATATAAAATGCATAGTTAACAAAACTAAAATAAAGATAAAAACCTATAGGAAGGGATAAGTAAACATATAAACATAAAAATTAATACCTGCCAAATTGAATTGTAATAATATATAGGATACTATGTACAAAAACACAGTTAACAAAACTGAAATAAATATAAAAAGCAAATGTATAGGAAGGAATAGGTAAACATAAACATAAAAAGTACTATATGGCAAACTAATGTACGATTGTAATAGGATAATTATAAAATAGTTAACTAAATATATGGCAAACTAAATTGTAATACTGTAATATGTAGGACAATATATACTTATATATTGAGGTTACATATAAAGATTATAAAACATAAGACAGTCTAATATATGTTTGATGTAATAAACCCTTTTTTCAATCATGTTACTGGGGATTATATTAAAGTAGTAAAATGAATACAGTAATGCAGTACACAATGATAATTGTTTTGCTGGGAAATCCGAGATATGTTACAGGGCTGCTCTTAAACCCATTTTCCTTTCTTTTTTTACAGCCTGAAAATGGTTTGTCTCTTTTTGAGACTCTCCTTGTGGGGGTCAGTTGTGTCCCTTTACGGAAAACTAGCGTCCTCTGGATCTGCAAACCAAGATTTCTCTATTTCTCATCTATTTGGGTGAGGGGAATTTCTGTGCTTCTAATTTTACGAACTTTATGGAAAGATATATTGTGCTTCTAAGTGCAATGTTTTTCAAGCTTGGTGACTTTAAAATGGGTGGACTTCAACTCCCAGAATTCCCCAGCCACCGTGCTTTAAGGGACCGTTGGGCCGCGGCCCACCTGTGGTCCGTGAGAAGATTTTGGTGGGACGCAGAGAAATCTCACCCCCAGAGCACCCCCGCAAAGCAGTTTATCCAGACTGCGGGGGGAACACAAGGCTACGCCGCCCACATGGCCCATGGGAACCCTCCCTGCCCCCTCACTCCTTGCCTGGTAAACTTGCTTGCTAAATTGCTATTTTTCCGGCCATCAGCTGTTCTGCTGTGCCGGGAGATTTAGATTAGCTAGAAAGCAGGAAATGGTTGGATTTCTTGCTTTCTAGCTCGTCTTTAGATCTTTGGCTCTGCTTTTAAGCACAACCGAACCTCCCTTAGGACTGAAGTTTCTATTATTCAGTGCAGACTCACAGCAAGCAAATTTAAGGTGACAGACTGAGCTAGCCAAAGGCAGATAGATCACAGAATGATTCTGTGAGCAACTCAGTGTGCCTGCCTGCTTTGCCTGGTTTTTGGTAAAAATGGCTTTTTTTAAGTAAAAAATTATATATTTACCTGCATGGTGTGTTGTGAGTTAATTTTGTGAGTTTGCTTGCAAGCAAATTTTATATGATTGAGCTAGCCGATGGCAGATAGATCTCTGAATGAATCTGTGATTCTGTGAGCAACTCAATCTGCCTGCCTGATTTTGGGTAAAAGTTGCTCTTTTTTAATAAAAAAAATTCAATATTTATATAAATATTTATAACATTTACATACAAGCCATGCCCAGCCAGTCACATGACCATTAGGCCACGCCCACAGAGCCAGTTAGTGGTCCCTGGGATTTAAAATTACGAGTTTGGTGGTCCTTGAGGTCCAAAAGGTTGGCGACCCCTCCTTTAAGTTACATGGACTTCAACCCCCAGAATATGATTTGATTGGGGAATTCTGAGAGTTGAAGTCCATGTAGTTTGAAGCGTGCTGGCTGGAGAATTCTAGGAGTTGAAGCCCACCCAACTTAAAAGTCACCCATGGTGAAAAACACTAAAGAATAAAAACAGGCACCTCGCTTTACAGTATATGAAATTCACTTTTATTTTTAATCGTGATATTGCCAGATGCAATAAACGATCTCATAATAGGTGGAAAGGCTTATCAAGATTATCAAGACTTGGGGAAAAAATAATTCTAGACAATCTGGGACTCCAGGAGTCCTTGTTTGAGAGCATACAAATAGTCCTATACTTGCAAGGGCAATCGAGCCCAGGATTTATTTTGCTAAGTGAGACAGTTATGTGAGGTTTGCCTGATTTTATGACCTTTTTTGCCACAGTTATTAAGTGAATCTGGCTTCCCCATTGATTCGGCTTGTCAAATGGTCACAAAAGGGGATCACATGACCTTGGGACACTGCAACCGTCATAAATACATGTCAGTTGGCAAGTGTCCAAATTTTGATCACGTCATTGGGATTACAATGGTCGTAAGTGAGAAACAGTCAAGTCACTTTTTTAAGGGTTGTTGTAATTTTGAACAGTCACTCTACAAAGGATTGTAAGTTAAGGACTACCTGTAGGATAAACAAAATTACAGCCTCAACTTCTTACTTAGTAAATTCTGTAATGAGCGGACACGGTGGCTCAGTGACGCTGAGCTTGTTGATCAGAAAGGTTGGCAGTTCGCCGGTTCGAATCCCTAGCGCGCAGAATGGAGTGAGCTGCCGTTCCTTGTCCCAGTTTCTGCCAACCTAGCAGTTTGAAAGCATGTTTTAAAAAATGCAACTAGGAAAATAGGGACCACTTTGGTGGGAAGGGAACAGCATTCTGTGTGCCTTCAGTGTTTAGTAATGCTGGCCACATGACCACAGGGACGTCTTCGGACAGCGCTGGCTCTTCGGCTTTGTCATGGAGACGAGCACCTCCCCCTAGAGTCGGAAACAACTAGCACGGATGTGCCAGGGGAACCTTTACCATTAAATTCTGTAATAAATTAACCAAATTAGAAAAACCCAAAGCAGAATGTCGCATTTTTTTTCTCCTGACTTGAGTGGC